CCCCAAAACCCCAAAACCCCAAAACCCCAAAACCCCAAAACCCCAAAACCCCAAAAGGAGTATAAATTATAATTTAGATTAATGTTACCAGTAGATTTATCCGTACTTTGAAGAGGGTCTATATTGGTATTGCTGGACAGGACCAGCTGGAATCCAAGGTCTATTAGCCAACTCATGCTGCTTCTTATCTCTTAATATTTGAACAGCTTTATCAAGGGATTTAAAGTACGACTCTAGTTTCTTCCTCTCCTTAGCCTGATTTTTAGCAACACTTGTAAAGCCTTTTAAACGAGAGGATACGGCGCTTTCTTGATTTGCAGAACCAATCTTAGGTAATGATAAAGAGTTCTTTCCTCTCTTTTTGGATGAATTTCTAAATCTTCTAGCACTGTTAAACTGGATTATTCCACCCTTTCTAATATTAGCATCTGAGAGGTTTCTTGCTAATGATTTTTGAGCAGAAGAAAACTTGCGTCCTGATTTAGTAGGAATGGTATTCTGTGAAGCAATGCTAGGAAGAAGGGATGGTTCATCTCTATTTCTTTTCTTCTTTCCTTTCTTCTTATTGATTTTTTGTGATACAACATTTTGAGGACTTTCATCGTACTCTTCCATAGCTGATGATTCAACAGATTCGCACTCTTCCATAACTTCTTCAATGAAAATATTATTTTCAAAGGTACCCTTTTTAACAGTACCATCTGCTAACTGCATAATACCTTGGCCATGCTGAATTCCATTCACCCAAGCTCCCTTATAAAAGCTATCGTCATTCCAGTACATCTCTCCATATCCATGTCTCTCATCACCTTTATATTCTCCTCTGTAAAAATTGCCACTAGCCCATTTGAATTCTCCATATCCTTGCTTTTTGCCTTTAACATAATTTCCTTCAAAGACACATTTCTCATCTCCTTCACCTTTTGTCCATTTACCTTTGCCATGCTTGAGTCCATTCTTGAACTGACCTTTGTAAGCACTTCCATTTCTCCAAGTGTATATTCCTGTTCCCCATGGTTTGCCATACTTATACTGGCCTGTGTAAGAATCTCCGTTTGCGAAATAGTCTGTTCCTTTGCCATGCTTGAGGCAGACCAGCCAGTCTCCGTCGTACCTATCTCCGTTCTTCCAGGCGTAAACTCCTTGGCCATCAGCTTTGCCTTCTTTCCACTCGCCTTCGTAGCTATCGCCATCGTGGGACTTCCATTCGCCATATCCGTGTTTCTGGCCTTGGTTCCATTCGCCGTTGTAGTATTCACCATTGGCCCATTGGTAATTCCCTTGTCCGTGGGCTTTGCCTCTTAAGAAATTTCCTTTATAGATATTGTTATTAGCGTATCTTTCGTACCCCTCGCCTTCTCGGAGATCTTTGTTCCAAGCACCTTCGTAGATTCTTCCAGTGATGTATTCCATGATCCCGATGCCTTGTCGCTGGTGGGTCTCTGGGTCGATCATTCCACGGTAGATCGCATCTTTGTACTTCTTAATCTTAAAGTTTGGATGAGCTGATAGCTCCTTATAGTCTACAAATTCACTCACTGGATGATAATCCAAATCAGCTGAGCTTTTCATGTACTCAGATGCGGAGTCATCAGGTGAGAAGTTCTGAACCTCTTTGATACTACCTTGAGATTTCTGCTTTTTAGAAGAAATTGGTGTCTTTTTAACCGTAGAATTGCTTTTAGAGGACTCTGGTGATTTCAGATAAGTTTTCACAGTCTTACTAGGGGTTGGCTCTTCAGTACCCTTTTCCTTCTTAGACATCATTTTCTTTACTATCGTTTTAATTTTAGGCTTTTCTGGACCATTTCCTAGATCAGATAAATTAATCTGGTCTTCTTCTACGACCATGTTTGGAATAATCTTTCTCTTCTTCGGTTTATTACTTTGTTTATTCTCTGAAGTTTCTGAACTGGTAGGCTCTTTATCTAGTGTATTATCCTTATCAGTATCATAGAGCTTGTTCAATGACATCCTGACTGAAACTTCTTTATACAAGTCAGAATTCTTGTCTCTACTCCCATTTTTAAGTATCGAAGTTATCTTTGTATTAGAATTTTTAGGTTTATTCTCATGAGTTGATGCATCTTTGCTGTCTGAAATATTCCCGTTATTTTCTCTTTCAGCTGGTAAAACACTTCCTTCTTCTTCAAAGTACTCCTCATCTTCTTTAAATTTTACACTATTTTTATTGCTTGAACTTAAGTTTTCTGGAGAATTAGGTTTCACTTGATAATCAAAGACACCTTCTTCTTTTGGTATGTCTTTAGTTGAACTGTTAGGGGATAACCGCCTGGATTTTTCTGAAATCCCTTGCATACTTGACTTTTCATAGCTGGATCTATTTTTGATATCGGGCTCTCTGTTGCTATCAGAGGAAGATGGAGGAGCAATCTTGTTCTTCAATGCTTTCGATTTAAATCCATTGCTATGTTCAACGACTGTAACTGTTCTTCTTGCCTTCTCTTCATCAACATTTTTCTTAGACGGAGCTTCGCTGCTACTGTCGTCATCATTTCCATCAGCCTTATCTTGGTCATGTATCTGATCTAGATGATCAGTTTCCAGAGGAGGGTCATTATAATTATTTCCCTTATTTTCTTCAATGTCAGCATGTTTCTTAGGGTTTTCATGTGAACTGAGCCCTTCACTTTTAAAATTGTCTAGTTTGTTTTCAGCAGATTCATCAAGCTGGGGTTCTTTCTTCGCTTCATTTTCAGTAAGAATATTGGCTTCTACGGTGTCTTTATTGTCTTTATCCATTTTATATAATATTGTTTCAGAACTAATTCATATGTAGGGGTTTTGGGGTTTTGGGGTTTTGGGGTTTTGGGG